GATCACTGTGAATTGTAATCAACTCAATGTCAGTGCGGTTTTTGTTTTTTGTTTTCTTTTCAGTACCTAGTTTCATATAAACATCACTTCAGTGAAGATACAGAACTGTTTATTACCACAAGTGGAACCTTCTTGTGATACCTTTTTAAAAAAAATTATTTTTAATCATTTTATTGGGGCTCATACAACTCATCACAATCTATACATCATTGTCTCGAGCACATTTGTACATTTGTTGCCATCATCATTCTCAAAGCATTTGCTTTCTACTTGAGCCCTTGATATCAGCTCCTTTTTTCCTCCCTCCCTCCCCACTCCCTCATGAACCCTTGATCATTTATAAATTGTTATTATTTTGTCATGTTTTACACTGTCCGATGTCTCCCTCCACCCACTTTTCTGTTGTCTATCCCCCAGGGAGGGTGTTAGGGGTAATCAGTTCCCCCCCTCTACCCCATCTTACCTCTACCCTCTGGTGTTGCCACTCTCACCACTGGTCCTAAAGGAATGCCCTGTATTCCCTGTTTCCAGTTTCTATTTGTACCATTATACATCCTCTGGTCTAGCCAGATTTGTAAGATAGAATTAGGATCATGATAGTGGGGGTTGGGGGGGAAGCATTAAAGAATTAGAGGAAAGTTGTATGTTTCATCAGTGCTACCCTGTACTCTGACTGGCTTGTCTCCTCCCGGTGACCCTTCTGTATGGGGATGTCCAGTTGCCTACAGATGGACTTTGGGTCCCCACTCGGCACTGCACCTCATTCTCAATGATATGATTTTTGTTCTTTGATGCCTGATACCTGATCCCATTGACACCTTGTGATCACACAGGCTGGTGTGCTTCTTCCATGTGGACTTTGTTGCTTCTCAGCTAGATGGCCACTTGTTTACCTTCAAGCCTTTAAAACCCCAGATGCTATATCTTTTGATAGCCGGGCACCATCAGCTTTCTTCACCACATTTGCTTATGCACCCATTTGTCTTCAGCAATTGTGTCGACAAGGTGAGCATCATGGAATGCCAGTTTAATGGAACAAAGTGTTCTTGCATTGAGGGGAGTACTTGAGTGGAGGCCCAATGTCCATCTGCTAGCTTAATACTAAACCTATAATTGTGCTACCTCTTTTAGCTCAAATTCACATTCCTTTTCCCAGGCAAATACTAATCTGTTCACTGCCTCTCTAAGTTTGCCGTTTAGAAAATGTATATAAAGTGAGATATATAGTGTGGCACCTTTCGATATTAACCTATTTTGCTAAGCCTATTGCCCTTGAGGCCTTTGTAGATTCTTTTGTGTATCAATAGCTTGTTCCTTTTTACTGCTGAATAGTGTTCCATTGTGTGGTTTAATACTCACTCACTGAAAGGTTGTGTCCATTTTTATTCTGTTAAAAATAAAGCTGCTGAACTCTACATGCAGGTATTTGGTGAATATAAGGTTTTATTTCTTTGGGATAAATGACCAGAAGTTCATTTTCTGAGTCATGTGGTTAAATGCATGTTTAATTTTATAAGAAAGAAACTGCCCCTTTTCTGGAGTGGCAGTACCATCAGTTATTTGAAAAATCCAATTTTCCTTCATCCTTACCAACATTTGGTATTAATTGCTTTTTGGTTGTTGTTTTTCTTTTAGCTGTTCTAATAAATGTGTGGTAATACCGCATTGTGGTTTTAATTTGCATTCCCTAACTATTAACAATGGGCTTAAACAGGACAACAATGACGAGCTTGGCCCAGGCCCGGGCAGAGTCTCATTCAGTTGCACACAGAGTCACCGGGTGCCGGAACCCAACTCGTCAGCCCCTGACCACAACGAGTAATGGTAGTGATAGTCAAAGATGGTGTGTGCTTATTTTCCGTTCATCCGCCTTCTTTAGGAAAATGTTTGCTCATGTCTTTTAACCATTTCCTAATTGTAGTTTTTAAACTAATAAGTCTTTGGAGTTATTTTTATGTCACATATTTGGTTTACAGATCATTTCTTCCAGTCTGTAGCATATTTTTCACTTTTTTTAATGGGTCATAGCAGAAATGTTGATAAAATCTGTTTTATCATTTTTTTCCTTTTACTGATTGTACTTGTTCTGTCTTAAGATCTCTATGTAGCAGCACCCTTTAAAAAAAGGAATCAGAAATGCTTTTATCTTTTTGACTGAAATTTGAAGCATTTGGGTTTTTACTGCTCTAGGTTTATAAAGCATGGTTTCATTGCCTAGCCAAAGGAATGGCCATGGTGACCACAGGCATATCTAAAGGGGGAATAAACAATGGACCTTTTCCTCTTGCAGACGCAACCCTTTCCCTCCATATCTCAGCCCACAGCCATCCAATAATAAGTGTACAGCGAGTGTTGGGGAGCTCTGGGAAACAGACTTGGGTGGGCCCAAAATATTGGTGGTTGGTATTGGAATCATGAGTCCTTTAGTAGTAGGAAGAGTTGAGATTAGATTGGGAGTTTAGGGTTAGGACTCAACGGAGTTGGAATGTTAGCAACTGGCATGAAAGTTATTTGGTAATGGAATAGGGGGAAGAATTGGAGGTGAGAGAGTTGAAGGAGGGAAAGGATTCAGAGTTGAGATTGAGTAAAATTGGAGATTGCAGAGCTGAGAACTTGGAGTTTGTCAGAAATAAGCATTGGGTGGTGTTGAACACCAGGAGCAAGTTTGAGGTTGTAAGAGAAGGCTCATGGAAAAAGCCTAGAGTACAATTTTACGAGTCCTCTCATAGGAGAGTCTTACTGGAGAGAAGGCTCATGGAAAAAGCCTAGAGTACAATTTTACGAGTCCTCTCATAGGAGAGTCTTACTGGATGCACTTAATTCTCCCAGCAACAAGTTATGAAATGTGTGAAATATCGTATACCAACGATTATAGGGCTTCATCCTCAGGCCCAGGCACATACATAGTGATTTTCTGAGAAATGCAGCATTTCACCAATTTCTTTTTCTTTTTTAACACTTCATCCACATGTCATGCAATTCAATAATTCAGTCCTATCAAGAAAAGTTGTACAAGTATCACCAATTTCTTTTGTCATAGAACATTGGTACATTTTATCGGGCTAGTTAGTATTCAGCAAACCATCTACAGGAACTGCCTCGAGACCTCTGGTTTTCATTCGGCAAAGGAGCCCTAGAACCCAACAGGTGAAAAGGAGGCAGGCCAGTCTTTCTTACCATGTATGCCCTGTGTCGTGGACACATGTGGAAGCGCACCACCCATTTCTTGAATGACTGATTTAAGTAATGCACCGACATCTTTTTTTTTTTTTTAATCATTTTATTGGGGGCTCATACAACTCTTATCACAATCCATACACACATCAATTGTGTAAAGCACATTTGTACATTCATTGCCCTTGTCATTCTCAAAACATTTCCTCTCCACTTAAGCCCCCAGCATTAGGTCCTCATTTTTCCCCTTCCTCCCCGCTCCCCCCTCCCTCATGAGCCCTTGATAATTTCCGACATTCTTATTATAACGTAAACTTGAAAGCTAAAAGGAAATGAACTCCTCACGAGTTTATGTAAGCTCCCTGAGTTGGTCCGTGTCATTTTGTTACGTCGGTCTGTGTCAGTGTTGTTGACCATTGTACTCACAGAGCCTGGCACATACTATAGGGACTCGAAAACACTGACTAAATGGGTACAATTCTGGTGGTGATGTCACCTTAAAGATTCTGGTGGTAGGAAATGAGAAGTCAGTACGTACTTGAGATTTCAGTTAATTATTCTATCCTCACTGGACACTGGGAGTTGCAGAGTATTTTAATCGCCTTTAGGTCCCGTCCCCCTCCCCAAAGATTGGGATTTTTAATAAATATTTATAACACCAAAAAATGTAAACAGTGGCGTAACAACAATAAAGACTTATGTGCACATCACGCAGCATTAGAAATAGCGCATGGCCGATCTTCCCTTTCCCTGCCCTGCCATAGTCACATCCTCCCCCCAGGAGTGACCGTCAGTGCATGCTTACCATTCTCTTGCCTCTTTCTTTCAACTCTCTCACGCACGTTTGTCCCCAAGATGATTGAGATGTGCATTTTTAAATTTTATATGAGTAAGTCAGAAAATGCTGCTGCCGGGGTTCCGTCCATGCGCACACAGGCTTATCCAGACAAAGCAGACGTGCAGATGCCTCTGCAGTCAGTCAGTAGATGGCTGTAGACACTAGTCCCATTCTCCGCAGGATGCACTCGACAAAGGTCCAGACAAAACAGTGACTTCCGGGGAGCTCCTCAACTAGCTAATGCATAAGCTCAGAAGATTATGGGAACTGTTTCCTGGGACTCCAAAGGGGATCATCATCTTGATAGATCTTTGCAAAGGACACAGGGGTATCCCATAGGAAGAGAGTTTTAAAAAATGGAAAAGTGCATTGGTGAGAAAGAAGCCGAGAAAGTTGCACTGCGGAATTTTTTCCATCACAACAGTTGCATCTGTTCCCTCTTTGAGGGTATGTCAAGAGCATTTCAAGGCCTGGCCTAGGAGAATTTCCTTGAAAGTCTTATCTCATCCATCCTACAACCCTGATCTTGCCCCTCAGACTTCTTTTTGATCCCCAGTCAAAGATCATGGTTTGCTGAAAATAAAGCACAGAAATTCTTCAGGGGAGCATTAGAGAGAAGGAAATCCTGCCCTTTTTTTTTGG